TACGTAAATTTTCACTAATATTTTTATGTTTTTAAAAGGGTTGTTACTACTGGAAAAAATGGAAAACACTGTCAGTACAGAAGCAGCTCAAGGAGGATGGCCCTGACTTGAATGACCCTGAAGCCCAAAACATTGAAAGCGCATTAAAATTTATTAGCATGAACCCAACAATGCAGTGAGAATTTCCACTACAAGCTGGATGACTATTAACTGCAAACAAAGCAAGAGTCTTCCCGTGAACCTTTAGTCCTTGAATAAGTGTTGTGTAGACAAAATAAAAAACCCTGGAAATAATGCTGCAGTAGAAGCACTGATACTTCTTCCAAAACACTGTATGCAACATAAATTACTAATATGAATGACAATTATTCACATCTTCTGTATTAATTTTGCTCAAACTCTTCCAACATCTCTTTCTCAGGTCTTATATTCTTCTGATAGCTTACCAGAATTTCGGGCAATTAGAAGGTCACCAACACCAAGAATGCTAGGAGCAGCATGCTGCACAAACACTCATGACTAAGTCTGAACATATCTTTGTTAGTGATCTAGGCACAAGAGGCAGGAGACCCTTGGGTATGTTTTTCATATCTAAATGCTCATGCCGTGTTAGAACCATTCTCCAATAGCTCCACAATTCCCTCCTGAAGAAAATTTCCCAAATAGGGCTTTCCAGTATTCCAGATATACCCTGAGTTCAGAACAACAACCGTTTCATTTTAGGAGTCCCACACTGTAAGAGCAGCTGGTGAAACAGGACATGGCTCGTTACCACATCTCCCCATCTGTGTAAAGGCGCAGACAGACAATGGCATTATCTTCCTCTCTGTCCAACAGAAGGCTCAAAGSTGTCACAGGGGAGAGGGAGAACACTGTGCATCCAGATGTGCACAGCTGCTTGCACTGGGATCAACACTGCTTTGGACTCTGGACCACCGGAGGAGAAGAGCCCCACTGCCCTGCATCCTAGGAATAATGATAGGAAGGAAGGAGGTACTAGTGGAAGATGGGGGAAGCGTAGCCCGTGCAGGCGCCACCGCCTCCAGTGCACACTGGGTTTTCAGCGAGTGCCACAAGACRGAGGGACTGATTCCTGCCAGCCTTACCTGAGCCCTCTCCTCCCATGCAAGGCACACAGCTTCTTTCACTCTCCAAAAACCCACAGTGCTTCTTTTCCTTTTGGGTAAGAATCAATAGAGGCCTTTTGGCAACTCTTAGCTGGCAGAGTACACATCACACTTCACTCACTGATCCTCTCTGAGGGTGAAACAAAAACAGTTCTACAGGTGTGTGTGCGTCCCGCCCTGGACTTCTGCACTACAGGGGTTCCTTCAGAATCTGAGCCCCCTGCTCTCCCCTCTTCACATCCCACCGGAGATGCCTCCTGCGAAACACTCATCTCTCCCCTCCCAGATCACCTTTCCTTTCAAGTGGAAAGAGCACTCTCGGAGGTCACCCTCAGGAACACAAAGCACAGAAGGAGAACACARGCTGCTTCCAACTTCCTCACGCCCAATCCTCGCAGTACCCTCGCAGTCCCCTCCCTGCCTCTAAAATCCCGGCCGGCGGCCCGCCCGCTCCTCTCCTCTCCCCGTACCTGTTGCAGCCCCTCGCACGGCTCCAGCCGGGGCTCTCCAGCACTCCAGACTCCAGTCTCCGTCTCCAGCTCGCAGGAAGGATGCGGGCGAAGCGCTCGCTGCCGGGGGCGGCACTGCCGCAGCCAGAGCCGGGCGAGCCGCCCCCGCTGACCCCGGGCAGGGCGCAGCTCTCCGCGCTCGGCAGCGGCGGTGCTCGGAGCCGCGCAGCCGCCGGCGGGGCTGCAGGGAGCCGGCTGCCCGGCCATGCACCAAGCCCTGCCTCCGCCGGCTCCTCGGGAACGGCCGCTTCCAAACCAACTTATTGGGCTTCCAGATGTACCTGGGGGACAGACGAGGGGAAATTATGTTTGCAAATGTCGAGTGTGCATTAACTATTCCCTGAGTTAACTGCATTTGACTTGCTCTTCTGTTGGACCAAACTCCCGTCTCCTGCTGGAGTCATTAATCTGTACCTTCGCATCRTTTGCGCAGAAGAGAGTTGGTTTGTTTCTCCCTTTCCACCCGCTTCGCCCCCACACGCAGTCCCTAAAAGCCCAACAATTAAAAAYGTGGATTTTCCCTTTAATTCCCCTACATTGTGTAATTATATTCACATTAGAAATCAATCAACATTGGTCATTACCATTAGTGATATGCTCATAAACCAAACACTAGACATGCTAATGAACTGAATGAAACATAATTTCTTGTTGTGTAAACTCATGCTCAACGCTAATCAGCAATAAATTCAATCAGACATTACATACATCAACTGAAAACACATTAAAGCAGGGTACGGAGCAGCGGCTGCTCATTTAAGGGGCAGCGCGGCCCCGTGCCCGCAGCAGCCCAGCAGTGCCTCGGCCGCGGGGGACGAGGCCGCCGGAGCCCTGAGGGGACAGGGCCGCCCTGCGCAGAACCCCTCGGTGTGGGTGCCCGTCCTTGGCTCCCGCCCGCTGCCCACCGACCGGGCAAAGCCGCCCCCTTGTCTGTCTCCGGGGCCTGTCCGGCTCCGCCGCTTCAAACGGCTCCTGGGTGCAGTTTCTTGGGCTTGGTCACCCGCTCGGAGCCCGTTCTCCGCCYAGGACCCGCCCGCGGCCCTGCGCCTCACAGGGCCCTGCGCTGCCCAGGCAGGAAAGCGGCCTTGCCGGGCGGCGGGCGGTTTGAAGGACGAGAACGGGCTCCGAGCGGGTGCAACCAGCGCTCATTTAACATTTCCCTGTCATAAAGACGGGGCCAAGGCACCGGCCACGCGCTGAGATGGCGAGGGCTGCAAGTGGGTGCGACCGGCGGGCCTGGGGCTGCCCCGCGCCCTGTTCGCCCCGTCGGGGCAGCGCCGGCCGCGGGAGGCTCGGCAGGGACAGCTCCCCCCGGCCGCCCCACAGCCTGATCGGGGAGCACCTTCACGGCCTTCYTCTCCCTGCCCGCCGGGGGCGCAGGGACGGCACAAAGGGGCTGTTTTTAAACAACGCGTCTGCTGAAGTAAATCACCGGGCAGCAGCCRCTCGGACGCACCGCCCGCACATCCGCACACCGGGGCCGAGCGAGTTCCGGGCCGSGCTGGGGCGGGGAGGCAGCGGGACCCGCCCGCCCCTCYGGGGAGCCGGGGCSAAGTCCCGGACAGGCCCSCGCCCAGGATACCAGCAAGGGCTCCCCGGCCCGGCGAGGCGGGCGAGAGCCACGGGGGCTTGGTGCGGCGGMGCCTTTACCTCCTCAGCCAGGTCTCCGTACCTCCCGGCCCACACCGCAGCCTCCGGGCGGCCCCGAGGTCGCTGCGGGGAGCATCACTGAGCGGGGTGGGGGGCTCGCTGCGCGGGCGCGGAGAACASGAGGCTGTTTCAAGCGGCCACGGCGGCGTTTTGTAACAGCCGCAGAGCAGCGATTTGCTGCGATCGGAGTAATGTAATTTCCAGCTGCACAATATTAATGAGACCCTCAGAACCAGGGGAAAACTTTCAGCGGAAGGTGGCGGGTTTATTTGCTTCGCGTTAAGGGAGACGAGGGAGAAAAAAAAAAAAAGACAAAAGACAAGCATCAGCATCGTCAGCCCCCGCACCTGCGGCGATCGCCRGGATCCCCCGCGGCAGGCCCAGCCGGGAGCTGCTGCCTGGCTCCGCGATGAGGCGGGAGGGCTCGGGGCCGCTGTCCTTTCTCTTGCAACCCAGTTATTTTTGTTCCCCCCACCCCATTTCTCCCGCTCCCCCCCCCTCCCCATGCCCACTCCCCGCGGTCACGGCAAGCAGGGACGGCTCCGCTCGCCCTGACCATACTCCGGGCGCCGGTGGGCTCGAAGGGGCAGCGGGGCTGACAGCCGGGCGGGACGGAGGCGGCGAGCCGTGAGAGGCTTCGGGGAGAGCAGTGAGGAATCTTGTATTGAGAGAGGGGCATGCGGCCGGAGAATGCGACGTGTAGGTTGTCTTGAGCAGTGTGTAACTCCAGGTGAACACAGTCCGGCTGCCTTCCATCACTATTCCTCCTTGGTAAATGTCAGTTGTTCCCTCGCACGGCTCCTGGCCCGCGGCCGCAGGTGCCGAGGCTCCCGGCGAGCTGCTGGCGGGCCTTGAGGGCCGGCCCCCGCCTTCCCTGCTCCTGCAGGGCGCGAATCACTTGGGCCAGGCGGCARCCGCGGGGCCAGAAGGCGTTTTGGCCCCTGCACCCCAGGGTGACAGAGGAGTAGGAGCTGACAGCAGGCCGCTGTGTTCCAGAGGCCAAGGGCCGCGGCCATCCCGGCTCACGCCGACCCTGCTCCCCGCCGCCGCCCCTCCGCGGAGCGCGTCCCCGCCCGCCCCGCCGGTCKGTTTCCAGGGCAGAACCTGTGAATAAAGCGAGAAGCGTTGCTTATTGTGCTCATATTAATCCCCCCCTTCTTGGAGCTAATTAAATTCCTTCCCGGGAGCCGGGGATTCGTGCGGCTCCGCTGGTGCCGCAGCCGGGGCAGCCCCGCGCCGGCCGCCGCCGCGCCACGCACACAGCCCGGGGGTCGTTTCACCGATTTATTTCACGTTAAAGTTTAGATACAATCGAAATCCTCGGTACGCACCTCTTAATAAAAGTAGTAATCTCTTCGAGTACTGCAAAATTATAGCATTTATATCTTCAAAAGACGGTAAACAAATAATACCTGCGAATCAATAGTACCAGCATCGAGTGCACATGGTCAGGTGTTTTTAGGCGGCCGTATAAAATGCGATCTGGTTTAATGAATATAATACAGATAAATGCTACAAATAAGTGGATATCAGAGATGGTGTGAAACTTCCTCCTATGGACGGGTCCGCTCGGGCTGGCGGCACTGCCCGCGGGGCAGGGGGAGCCAGGGGGCTGCACCCCCAAAGCCGGGCCCCCTGCAGCAGCCCCGGGACCCCGCCGAGCCTCCTCCCCCCGGCACCTGCATTGAGAAACCTTATTTCTGGTTAAGAAAAATAAAAGTCCCATTTAAACTTTATTGAATTAAAGCAAAAATTAATTTTCGATATTCACACATATATTACAGAGTAATAGTAAAAGTTCAATATACTTCCTGGCGTTTAGTTGGGCCACGTTGTACAAGAGCAAAACAAGCATCAAAACATTTAGCAGCCTTAAATTTCACAATCACTCAGAATTACATAGAAATATTGAAATACTCTAGTCAGCCTTGGCTGTGGATAGTTCTTCATGTAGAAATTTTTCCTTTTGCCAGCCAGTACACAGCAAGAATTGCATTTTCCCTTCCATCATGGCATCCATGTATTCAAAAAATACTTTGCTTTTTTTCTTTTTTTAAAAGTTAAACTCAGAGAAAGAGTCAAGATTAMCATGTTTTAAAAACAAAACTACAAAATATGCTGTAAAGGACAATGAAAATATCTAAAGTCTACTTGTGTGAGGCAGAAGCCATGGGGGAACAATGGCAGATTACACCAATGACACAGAGATGGGAACTAATTTTGTGGGAGGAGAGAGAAGAATATAAATGGGGGTTTGATCAATTATAGTGTCTCCCGCCTGTTGGCTGCAACACAACAAAAATAAGTAGTAATTCTTCAAAGCAGATGTACACAAACCTAAGCAGGATTAAGCTTCTTTAATATTTGAATGTAAAAAGTCTGCTGTCCATGACTCTTCAAACCCAGCTTTGACTTGGGAATTTGTAAGAGATCTCTCCCTTTTCTTGGATGAGAAGTGATTTAAAGCGGGAACACTAGAAATCCAGAGAATGTTGAATACTTCCAGCCTCCCATCAGGTTTCCTCTCTCCAGTTTTAGATAAGCTCTGTCTCCTTTCTCCATCTGAATCAGGACTCCATTGCTAGCAGCTTCTCGGGTCACATCTTGGTCTCCTGCAAAGGCAGAAATCACTGGCCACCCATTTAGCATCAAACTCACCTAAAGAGCAAGATAAAACAAAGCCCTCTGTCAATTAAAGTCAGACAATGACACCAATGGGACTCGCCTAGCAGGCGAAATGCTTAGTTAAGAAAAGGCCTCTTTTGACAGCTGAAACTCCAGCCCCATAAAAAAGAATTACCGATCTAAACCCAGCTAAGGTATGTATGTACTCCAAAGTAAAAAGTCTTTCACCACTGTTTTAGACCGACAAGCACATCAAAACACCCGGTGCATATAAAGCAGGACATTGATCCTATTTTGGAGAATTTCAATAGGGTGCCTGTRTTTTCAGGCTATGAAAAGAGGTCTGCTTGTACTTATTGAAAGATGGCTTTATGCGAAACCTCAGAGACAGCGAGGAGCAGAGCCACAGCCGCTGGAGTCAGGGCCTTTGAAGTGTATTCAAGGGGTAGTTTTCCTTTGTTAGGCAGCAAAGACAATATGCCACAACACAGTCAATAAGCTGTGCTAAGCTCCTAAGCTCGCGTTAATGATCCCCGGACTGCATACSCCACATTAATAAAAGGTTACCTGCCCACTCTAAAGGTGTTAAGCCACTTACACCACAACGGTGCTATGTAGCTGTCCATTCACCTTTGCAATGTGCATCGTTATACAGTCAGATTTCCTGTCTTGGTTATGCTACCTGGATTCAGGTCGGTAATTTACTAACCCTACCTGGAGCCTATGCATCGAACCCCATAGAAAAAGGAGGTTTGTACAGGGTTCATCGACATATAGCTGCATAGGCACGCACAGATTCATTATCGTTTCCATGCCACAGATGCCTCTCTGAACYCCAATCCCTATGAAACCTTCTGCCACAGGAGAGTGGGTGAGAAGCCCGCCAGGGGCCGCGGTTTCTACGGGCTCTGTGTAGGGATGTTCTCGCCAGCGCTCCGCGGCACTGGGCAGTCCGAGGGCCCGGACAAGCTGCGAGGGGGCAGCAGACGGCCGATCACCTCCCATCCCGGGACGGCTCATGCGGACAGGGGCCAGGCGGAGGCCCGGTGGGGCTCCGCGGCCCCTTGGGCACCGGCCCCTCGAGCGGAGAAGCGCTGCAGGTCTGCGCTCCCCCGGCGGCTCAGGAGCACGTCCCGCCCCACCGCCCGCACGGCCCCGTCCCCGCCGGGCCGCCGACCCCTCCGCTCCCTCCCGCGGAGCCCGCGGAGCCGGGCGACGGCGCTCGGGGCTGACCTGGATGGTTTGCCTGTTGTACACTTTCACCACGTGAAAATTGAAACTGTAAATCCCTTTCCTGGGCGCGATGAAAGTGCTCCGCTCCGAGTCGAAGTTGCTGCCGATATTCACTAGTACCTGGAAGGGAAGGATACGGTCAGCACCAACGCGGGGCCACTGCCATCCAGCATCGCTGCCCCGCGGCCGCCCCCGGCTCCCAGCGCCCCCTCCCTCCCGCGGGCAGGGCCCCGCGGGGCGGCGCGTCCCCGGCCCGGCCCC